TTGTTGTTTTTGTTTGTTCTCCGCTACTGCGCATGTCCAAATTTACGTGCGGGGAGCAGATCGGAGGTGGGGGTCAGAGCAGAGGGGGATTTCACACCTTTTTCCCTCTCGCGGGTGTGAAAGAGAGCCCCCGCTGTGCAGCGTTTCTGAGTTGTCCCACTCTGCAAGCTGGATCTGAACACTTACGTTTTCACCCCCCTGAAACACAGTCTCCGTATGAACGGGGGGTAGCAACCGACATCCAACTATAGCTTTTTACTGCTGCAGCATGTCCGTATAAACGGGGCCTAAATTTAAGCCAGGACCAGTAGGCTAAGATCCATTTTTTTTATCACAGAGCAGTCACACTCCTGAACTCTCAACCTGTTAAAGCCCATTAGATGCACTTTATTGTAATGTATTATAATGAATGTATATATAGTACTAAAAATAGCAGCTTGAACAGTCTCACATATATGCAAATATATTTATCTGTGTTGTAAATCTTATTCTATACTTGTGTTATTGCACTACTGGTTAGATGCTAAACTGCATTTTGTTGCATTGTTTTGACTTTGTAATGACAATAAAGTTGAATCTAATCTAATCTAATCTCTTATAATCTCTGGATAGGGTATTACTATTTTATAGCTGTTCCACCAATGGGCACAGGGGGCACCTGCGGTATTGCAGACTAAATTTCCGTGGGCTACCCAGAGAAAATGTTCCATAACTTATGTAAATTAAAACAGCTCGACCTCAGCTGACAGAAAACATACCGCTTTCATAAAGATCGGATTTTTTCGCCATCTTGGATCACCGGGGCTTGGCTATTGCGCCATAGCATTACTGAAGGACATCAGCTAATCTCCATTGATTTACAAATGAATGCTAAAAGTAATTTAAGCTATTTGGCCTCAGCAAAGGCATGAGCAATTATACTTCAATCTGTTTTTGCTGTATCACCTTAGCTTATAAGACAGGCAAACACGTTTTTATAACAACAACTTTAATATTTAAAATCTCAACACAATCTGTCTTCACTTGATGTCTGAATCCCGGACATTCAGAAGACTTCTAAGCAATAAATCACCAAGCCAAAACTTGGGATAAGCAAAAAAAGGATCGATTGAATTAGTTTACCGGTAGATATTTTTGTTTAGCTGATTCAAATATAAAAATGTACTAACCCTAACCCCAATCCTGACTACATTTTTCATAAAATGTGTTTATGTTGAATTTGGAAATATTAAGAACATAAATTGGTCTTTAAGAATCTGTGATGCCAAAAGCATTTGCCTGCAGTTTACCACATAAATTAGCATGTTCCATTTAACTTGAGCTGTCGCCACAAATTATTAAAAGTAGAAGAAAAATACCCTAGATAATGTCTAAAAGGATCTAAATGATCCAGGGCTGATCAAGTTCAGCTTGCAAAGAAAATGATTTAAGGTATATTTAAATAACTGGGACGGGTCAATTTCACTCAAGGATAGCACAAGATAAAATGTAAAGAATATCGGAGACACATTTTTATAACTAGTATCCAAAACTTCATGCAGGAAAACTAAACAAAAGCAATACAAATAGTAAAATACATCTATTGCAATTCAATCATAGTAAAACGAGTTTTGTGGCACAGAGGAATCTGAAGTAAACAAGCGTGGTCTTTATTTTCAAAGTGTGTCTGTCTGGATGTTTTTGGCTGCACTTGAAACTGCATTGTACCTCCATCTGTTTTTAAATGGATCCGAGCACTTGCAATATATACGGGTAGTGCTTTTTGTAGCTTTTCAAGTGTGAAGTATGAGAATATGAGGCGTAAGAGATATTGCCACATAGCTTGAAATGATCACGTATTATGGTCTGCCTTGATCCTGAACGTATACCTCCTGTAGGAGATGGAAATGCGAGAAATATTTTTTTTCAGCTTTCATACAAATGGGGAATAATAATAATGTATCTTTCCCAGTTGGGAGGTTTTTAATGCTATAGCAACGTGACTTGACAGGATTTTCGCTTAATAAATATAATTGCTAAAGTAATAACAATATATTCAATGTGAAGTTCTTTGCATTTTTTTTTTTTACATCCATTAAAGTCATTATCGAAAGTGTAGTCGCTTCTAAATGGCCTCTTGTATAATGTCACATGTATTCTTATGGGTGTCGTTTGCCATCCATTATATGCACTGTCCTGTGAGCCTGATTCACTGTTTATGCCGACTATATCTAGAAATGTGTATTTTTAGTTGTCTTAATCAAAACTAAGGGGTAATAAAAGCAATGAAGAACAACTGCATTAATGAAAGTCTGACCATTAAGCAATCTCACAAATGTCACAGTCCATTAACCTAAGCGTAATTTCCCCTGACACATTGAAGTCATGAATTTAAAGTCAGAGTTCAACCAAGGTTCATGCAATGTAACTGAAAGCACATGGAAAGTTAAAAATCTAACATTTAACAATTTGGGGTTGAATGTTATAAATAAATAATGTTATAAATGAATATGTATAAATGTTGAATGTAAAAAATAAATAAAAAAAACTTAATGGATCTATGGCATTTTTTGTATACGATAAAAATGTAGCCTTTTTACAGAAAGTGAAATTGTTTATTAAAAAAGGACAATATATATATATATATTTTTTTTATATTTATTTATTTGAAAAGGAGGGACAATACATATTAATGAACATTTTCACAAATGTAAATATGCCAGATTATAGCCTTAGGCTAATTTCCATCTGCAGACCCCCTGGCAGGTTGGTGTTAAGCATAGGTTAGTAAAAACATACAGAGACACTATATACAGACTATGTACAGAGAGACAAGGACGAGTACAGTGATCACTTGATAGAGCAAACAATAAAACGAGTGGACAACAAAGGACAATATAGAAAAACAGTAACGGGAAAGCATCGACTGTATTGCACAAACCCCAATATTGCACATAACCTGACAGACCCAATATTGCACTGACCCATATTGCACCAATACAGTATGTGATATGCACTCTGGTCTAATGAAGTAATTACAATTACACTTTGTTGCCAGAATCTTCCAGCCTGAGACAGCACTGGTGACAGGACTGGTGACAGCACGTTCACATAAGAATTATGAACATCAAGGCCATTGTATTCTTAGAACAACTCTTTAAAGTTGAGTTCATAAAAAAGGTAAAATATGACTTGTACATGTTCACCTATTCTCCAGAGACAAATAAATGATGTAGATTTAATTTAAAATGAAAATACTACATTAATACTACCTCTTAAAGAGTAGGAAGCCTGAGATTCTTCTTTTTTAGATAGTGATCATCCCATTTGATCCAATTTGCTGTCAATGGCTTTATTGACGAGGCCTGGTCAGGGGCATTAAGTGCAGAGAAAAGTGATGCAGTGACAGATCAATAGCACACCTCACTGAGTCAACCACACTGCACTGTCATAGCTTCAAACGGACTGCAATGGACTTTGATTATCCATAAGAGAAAGGCATTTTCAAAAACAACACAATTACCGTCTATTTATACACAGGGCCACAATCACACCACAAGAACAGCTTTTAGAGCTTCATAACATTTTTACAGATGGAAGAGTAAGGACCTGTTTAGACGGAGGCGCTGCAAAGCAATTTGCAAAAACGACCAGGCTCCGTATTCTAAGTGCTGAGAGTCTACACAAAGACGAAAACTATGTAGTTCTAGCACCCGGCCAGTAGTGGGCAGTGACACATGCGACCCCCACTACTATAACCAGTAAAACCACTCCTCCTCAACAACATCAACAAGATGGGAAAGAATTTATCAACATTGTTCTGCATTTTACAGTAGCAGCGAAAATGAAAACAAACTTTGCGTGGTTTCGTTTAGACGTGTAGTGCTCGAAGCACACAAAACATTAGTTGACCAGTCGCCATTGCGGTTTCCTTTTTTTCTAGCTACTGCGCATGTCCAAATGTACGTGCGGGGAAGTAGTGAGGTCACCGCTGGCAGAGAAATAACACCTTTTTCTTCACACTGCTGTGAAACAGCCCCCGCCGCACAGCGTATCTGTTCTGTTCCATTTCTCATTGTTTGCGTCTTCACCCCCCTGAAACACTGTCTCCGTGTGAACGAAAGGCCAATCCGATACCCAACTCAATTGCTTTACTGTCGCAGCATCTCCGTGTAAACGACTTCTGAAAATAGTGTTGAAAATTGTTGGAAGAGTAACCACGACTTTCTTCCAAGTCTCAGAGTAAAAACTCCATACCTTTTAGAATGGTAAACTCATTCAAATAAGATGACCTTTATTCGGCCCACAGAGGGGATATTCAAGAATTGCATTTACAAATAAAGTGCAGAGCAGTATGATTTTCATAAATGTCTGCTTTTGCTGTATACCTTCTAATTCTTATACTAAATTTGGTGCATGCAGCGTCACAAATGTGAATCAAATTTTCAATCTGTAGATGGCTTTGGTTTCCAAACCAAAAAAATTAATAATGTAATAAAATCCATATATTTCTAAACAGTTCTATCATGATCAGCTTATTCAGACCGTGAAAAAAGAGGACCACCCTCACTCAGCCAATCAGCTCTCAGCTGGAATAGTCAAATAGTGATTCAGAGGTCCCTTTCTTACAATTATTGTGGTTTGATTTGTTCACGTTTTACAAGACAAGTTGGAACCATAGACTAAGTTGGAGCAAACAAAATGTGGTATGAAAAAAAGAAGTAAGGTACCATTCCTTTCATCTAAATTTAAAGCACAAAATAAGCATCAAAAACACATCCATAAACAAGCATACTGGTCAGACTGTAAGGCTACTATTCTCAGGTGGAAAGTTGTTTACAGAAAACGAGACTGCTATTGCCCTTTATTTATTGTCTAATCCAAAAATGTAAGCACCTCGGGTCGATCCATCCCTACACCATAAGGCTACAGTATGCAATTGGCTATCGCAGAGTGCGACAGAGGGGCCATGTGGTATATCATGTGTGCGAGCATTGGAGTGAGCATCTTCTTCTCATTACCTGCTGCTCGCTGCGTCCGGCGATTCTGCCCCGAGTCGGCATCTTTCCAGCTGATTTGCCACAATCTGCCGCTCCACCTCCAGCTCCCGGGTTAGCCGCTCAAACTGGAGCTCCTGAGTGGAAAAGGGGAAGTCTGATGGTTATACAATAAAATTGATCTTGCAGCAGAAATTACCTAAATAATGACAATAAAAACAAAGTATTTTAAACATGCAATGTTAATGTTTACAAAAAATTAAAACACAGAAAACAAGTTTTTACATTTCATAATAAGACATGTCATTTGTCCCACCACAAGTGTCTTTAAAAAGGTAAAAACAAAATCATATGTCTTAATCTTATTAGAAAATATGTATGTGTATTATGTATATTTTAAGAAATGGCCTTGTGAGTCACTTTGTGAAAAACTGCGGTGATGATCCAGGACACTCTTAACATTCTACTGATCTCTCCATATGGACCATACATGTGTATTTTCTGTGTCTTAACTGTTGACTCTCTGATCTGTGTTGGTGATTTCAATGGTTTGTGAGATGATGCTGTTGTAATTAAGGGCTGTTGTGATTAAGGGCTATACAAGAATACATTGTATTGTGAAAAATGTACTTTTAGATGCTTTGGGCTGAGAGCTGATTGACACTTTGTCACTTTGCTCTCCATAAATGTATCTGAAGATATGAGGCCAAAAAATACATGCATATGATATTGATAGAACTGTTTGGAGAGTGAGGAACTAGTTTGTGACATGTTTCATTGTCGTGATAGGTATTCCTGCTTTAAGGGCACTTACAGAGAAAAATGACCCAAAACATCTGCCTGGTGCTAGAATCAATTTAAACAGGCAAGGCCTCATTAATATTACATCAAGCCTTAAGAGTTTATGAAGCCATAAGATATTACCATATTTTGGGACAAGTTCTGAAACCATGACGGACACCGAGGGATCACATTCTTGAGGCTTTTAAAGTATTTAAAACTTTAGTAAGTTAAAAAGTATTATTTACAATATTAATTTTTAGACAGCCAATGATAATGACAAGGGCAGTACTCACTTCCACATATTCATATTCATTATTTGGAGTATTTATGTTCAATAGAAGTCAACATACAGTACCTGGGAAAAGAAGCTAAAACTTATTGTGCCAACTATTATAAGTTCAACAATGAATTAAAATATCACAGATTGTCAATAACTACAAAAGCTAAGATAATAGACAATTTACAAACACAAATTGTTAAAGTGGTATAATATAATCTATTCATGCAGCTAAAATATGGAAAAGTCTTCTTGAAAATGTGAGACAGGCTTCTTCTCTGAAAATGTTTTAATCCAGGTTAAAACATGTTTAGCTGTGCATACAACTGAGGGATTTTATTCTTTGTAAAGCACTGTGATCATTCAGTATATGCCTTGTGTGACTCTCTATGGATTGTGCTATGCAAATAAACGTGCATTGCCGATAATTCTGTTCATCTCTATTAGTGAATGTTTAAGTCATAATATAATTACAACAACCATTAAAAAAGCAATAATTTAATTCTCAAAGTTAAGCGTTCAGACTTGAATGAAAGTATAGTTTGGTTATGAAATCAACATTATCTCATTCACTGCCAGCCAAATATAAAGCAGCATCCCTCATACTGCCAGAGATTTGGGATATTTTTAGTGTTTTTCCAAACCTCATATAAATGTGAGCCCTTGGTTGACACAAGTATGAAACATACCAAATGAAAGCTCTGTCTCTTGCCTTTCATTTAAAAAAAAGTAAGTTTCTACCTTTTTTAGTTTTTTAGCTATTGAGAGTACAACATAGGTAACTTTCACACAAAATGCTGTTTCCTGACCAAGATATGGAGAAAACAGCCTTTTAGTGAAACACACATTTTCAAGCTGAAAAGTGTTTGTTTTTTTCTTTATTGATGTTTTACAATTTATGAGTTTCTTATTATGACACAAATCCGAAACAATACTTAAAATTGTATTTTTTAACAAATTAAACGTGTACACACAATATACTCAAAGGGTTGTCTTATGTACACATAAAATATTCAACTTGTATACAATAAAAAGCGTTTACAGGTCTGAAATGTTGACACAGGATGCACAAGAGCCTTGACGAGCCATAGAAAGAAAAAAATGAAAAAGGATCAATTAAATGAGTTAAAACAACATATTTCCTTTTGATATTGCGAAATTGCTAAAATAACAACCCACAGTAGCTGCTTCTGGTCCTGCTGGGTCACCGAGTGTCCGTGGCCTGTGTGCAGTCAGGAGGGCATTTCTCTCTGCCCACACAGGGAGATAAGCACCACATGTGAAGGTGATGTTTAGCCTTGGTGGCACCGTTTCTTGGGGAGTTGTCTTTAAATCAGCATTTGACTAATTACATTGCCCAAGCAAAGCTATTACTTGCACACATTTCCTTCCAGCTGCCTGCTCCATATTATGGCGCTTCAGAGATATTGGGCATGCTTTTTCTAGTACATTGCACAGTAGATTCTTCTAATTGGACATATTTACAAGAAATACACAGTTTTTGGAACAGAAATTGATCCATACGGCATGGGTTTGCAATTAGCACAAGCAAAGACACCAATTATGTTGTCATCTTAAAGAAAAAAACAGTATACAAGTTTTAATGTATAAAGCCTGAAAGTTTACTCTTCCTTTTCAACAGCACCTAGTGAAGAACCTCTTGTAAGTATTTAGAGAAATAATTACAAATCACAGTTCTAATCAAAGCAAAATACTTGTTCCAGGCCATTCTTACCTTCATGCTAGGGTTTGCAATCATGACGTGTCACATATCCAATGCCAAATTCAATGCTGCTATATACAATCCATCTATAGAAAACGGGTTCACACGTGCAGACTGCCGGAGCTATTCTGTGACCTGTATTGAGGAAGTATGACCACTCCTAAGGCACTTGGACCAGCCTACTTTTCACACCTAGTCTCCAATAGGTCTCATGGGGGCAGTGAAATGTCTCCCCCGTGCCACACCTCACTTCTCAGCCTTTGCCCTGTTCCCTCGCTGTAAGTGCACAAAGTAAACTTGAGTGAAAGGAGGGAAGCGTGAAGGAAGGAAAGTGCCACAATCTTGTTTTCTATATTCTTTTTCCAGTATACACCTGGGACGTGGAAAGAAATCACAAGCAAAAACAGTGACAGCATGTGCAGCACCAGGCTGAAATATGTGGAACAAATAAGTGACATTTTAAAACTTGACACAAGGGACAGGAAATAAAAACAATTTGTACAGGATGATTTGTTGAGCTTAGGTTTAAAAGGAGTTTTTGCAGACCTAACAAACGTCATGGCCCATTGCTGGAATTTACATTACAATGTTTCCCTTTCCCTTACATATTCAAGCGCATTTTAATTTCATTTCACATGCAAAACCTACCTTTTCTAACATTATAATGTGGACCCCAGGAAGAATAGTCATTGCTGTGGCAATTACTAATGAAGATACAAAATAAATGAATAAATTAACTAGACACACACACTTTGGAAAGTTTAGATTTTTATGAAAACTAATGTCATGCAACATCATCAGAGCACAAGAATGTACTATTTGCTACTTTAAGAAGGCAGTAGGTCTAGAAGGGAAAGCTTTGGTTTTCAAGACCAAGATTATAATCCAGTCAATCAGAAGAAATGGTCAGATGTTGTCGTATTTATATGGCGATATAAAAGATCTTTATATGTAAAGATTTAATTGAAACTTTCTGGATTGCAACCCACTTGGACAACTTCATCAATATAATTTTTTTAACAGATATAAATACATTTCTAGCAACATATAGTAATCCTGAAAAAAGTCATACGGAAGTAAGTAGCCCTTAAATTATTAAAACTCTATGAACATGTGCCTTATTAACATATTATGAAAAAGCATTTTAGGGGGGTCAAGGTGACGTGCATGGTACATGATTGGCAGCTCTATCACCACCTGCTGGCTTGAGAGATACACACTCAAAGTCTCTTCTTGACGATAAGGGTAATTATTTAGGAGCTCACCCCTAAGCGTTCTCTTCCCCAGTGGTAACCTTTACATTGTAATCACTAATGCTTTATGATCTTAAGCCCCGATTTAGCAGACAATATTATCTCAACTGGTTCTGAAGGTCAGGGGTGTGACCGCAAGGGCATTCAATCGGACAAAAGATAACAAATGAAGCTCTCGGTTGTTAAAATGTAAATCTAAAAACATTCCTATATAAAAAAAAACAAAAAATCAAAGTACAGCTAGTGGGCTGGTGCATGTAGTATTTCCAATCTTTAAACCAAATCAAAACTCACAACAATTACACTTGTTAAGACCATTGTATGCTATTTTCTTCTTGCAAGACTGTCTGATCTCCCAAAATCCTAACAATTGGCTCAGGCAGTTAATATCCACATTTTCATCACGTACACAGGCGCCGTTATATGAGACAGATGCCACCGGAGATGGCAGAAATCTTCCCAATAAAGGCTCTATCCCAGCTTCAGATGTACAGCTGCTCACAAATAGAGCATACACAAAGCAATAGAAAAATGACAAGGTGTATTTTCCCAGCAAATAATTTCCTTATTAAGCTGTCAATTCTGCAAGGCGCACCCCTGCTGAGAGATTAAGTAACAAGATAATTGTCCATTCCATTCTGTCATTATGTCTTTCAGTTCTCCTTTAGAAAATGCATATATGAAGAAGCATACAGTATGCCCATCATAAACACAACTGACTACAAACAGCATTATCAGCTTTTAAGAAAAACCTTTACTTAATCTGCAATCTGCCCGTTAGCTTTCACTGATGTTAAAAGCGGGATGACCATCTTTTCCATCGAAATATTAGACAATTATGTAACTCCTCCACAAAGTATGCCTTTTTGAAAATACAGAAAATTAGTCGGCTGAGTCAATCAACTCAAAATCATTTTAATGTAAGATGTAATTAACCATTTCATGCTTTGGCTTTAGACGTGATTGACTATTCAAGAGAGGTTATCCATTCTCGTCATTTCAGTCTGAATAAGCCGTTCCAAAGCTATCATAATGGTATGGTACAAAATGCATATAGTTATCATTCATTATGTGTTTTAAAGAGGAAATAATTATGAAGCA